ATTCATTACAACCCTGGGCTTTGAAGCGCATATGTTGATCTGGATGCTGGCTTCGACTTGTCAGCAGACACAAATTACTTTTCATAAAGACGCATTATAAATCAAATCAACATTAAGAAAGGGGGAAGAGAAACTATGATATAAGCAAAACAACAAAATTTACAAAACACTTCCAAACAGAATATAAAAAACAAATACTATAGATAACAAATTTTACACTGTAGAAAGTCACAGTCTCTTGCGTGTTCACTACCACCTTCAGTTTTGAGTAGAGCATGTCCGTTTCAGTCGTGGCTCATGAGTAAACAGAAATACCGACAATTTTCTTCAAATAAGAACGCATCGTAATTGAAAAAAAGAAAAAAGAAAAAAGGGGGGAGGGGGAGAAACTCTAATAGACAAATCTACAATAGACGTTGCCTCCGAAGCTGCTCCTCGACGTCTCGTAGAGCGTCCTGGTCCTCGCGCTTGTAGCGGTTTGCCTTTTCGATCATTGCCTGAATGTCGGCCTCGCTGAGGTGCGCCTCCTGCGGCGTGACTCGGACCTGCACCTGGCGCCCGGAGGTGGGCTCCACGCACGTCACCGTCAATAGACCGCTCTGGTCGATCTCGAAAGTCACACTGACCTTTGCCTGGCCTTTGGGTAGGCGCGGAACCTCGATCCCGAAGTCCTTGTTGAGGTAATGATTGTCTCTGACAAGCGGCCTCTCCCCTTGGTAAACCTGGTGACAAGTTCGTTTTATACAAAATGATGGATGGCAACAAATAGTCCAATGTAGAAAAACACTGGGAAGAATACACTTTCAAGCACAAACGTTCAAGTGCGTTATATTACACGCCTACAAATGATGTGTAGTTAATGCAGTACACTCTTCCCTGTGTGTACGTGACCTAAGGAAAAACATACACTTCTTTGTGTGTACTATAGCAAGTATACACTTGTAACAGATGGCTGATTCAGGCAGCGCACTTTCGTAGTTGTGCTGTACCGTATGCACGGGTGCGGGCTCGTTGCTTACTCGCACGGAGCCATAAGGAGCCGTGGGCGGCGAGCATAGGCAAGCCCGCCCGCATGCGTGCATGCGGTGCAGTATAACTACGAAAATTTACTGCGTAAATCAGCCACCTGGTATGTGTGTGCTTGAAGGTCGGATAATCTTCCTTGTGTGAACCTTACCTCTGAATTTACCTCTGACTGGTTGTCATACAGGGTGTAGTACGTCTTTGTATTCTTGCAGGGAATAGGCGTGTTCTTTTCAATGATGCAGCTGAACATCTCGCCAACGGTAGCTATGCCCAAAGACAGGGGTGTCACGTCCTTGAGCGCGACCATCCTGCCGAGGAAATTGTC